CACTTGACTGCTAACCAGAAAGCTGATGGTTCAATCCCACCAGCCACTCCGCGGGAGGAAGATGGGGCAATCTACTTCCGTAGTGATACTGCCTTGGAAACCCAAGGAGGGGTCACTATGAGTCGGGTCCAACTCGACGGTACGTAATAACAACATGAGGGTTGAGGGGCTCAGGGCTACTTCGCTTGGGGATTGACATAGTGGCTACAACGATGGGCTCAGGTATAGCAAGGATCATGGGGCTGGCACAGGACCAGGCATTGTTTCGTTCTGCTGTGCACAGGGTCACTATGAGTCAGAGATGACTCAATGGCACCTAACAACAACGACAATGGGGTTTGGCCAGACAGGCAGATGGTGGCAGCCGTTGTGGTGAGCGTAGGCAGCGGGGGGAGGTTAGCGTTGAGTCCTTGCTTGGTCCTGTCCTGACTGGTGCACCAGCCTCAGGTGGCTTCCATGGGGGCCTGGGTTCATACACCTTACCCTACAGGCAGCAGAAGGCCTACATCGCAACGCAGGGCCCACTGGCAGAGACCACGGAGGACTTCTGGCGCATGCTGTGGGAGAACAACTCCACCATCGTGGTGATGCTGACCAAGCTGCGCGAGATGGGCCGGGTGAGTGGGGGCCGGGGGGAGAGCAGCCTGGGCCTGCCACAGGGCTGACCGCAGCTGTGGTCTCCTTCACAGGAGAAGTGTCACCAGTACTGGCCAGCTGAGCGCTCAGCCCGCTACCAGTACTTCGTGGTGGACCCCATGGCGGAATACAACATGCCTCAGTATATCCTTCGGGAGTTCAAGGTCACAGACGCCCGGGTAAGTGTGGGGACAGCTTGCTAGGAGGGGCTGCAACTAGAGTCAGACTTGAAAGTCTGCTTAATGTTTCTTTAGTGATCTGGAGAGACCTCCCGTGATGGGTAGTGGAAGCAAAGCCCCAGGGGTCAGAATAACAGAGGGGCTGGGAAGAGGAGAGGTGAGTTGGCCAATCACTCCAACCACCAAGTAGGTGGAAGAGAGGGCTGTGTCCCTACAGTGACCCTGTAGTGCTAATGGAGCACATGTGAGACTCCTCACTGGAGAACGTTGCTCAGGGGGATCACGTGAAATGTAGTGAGTGGGGCATTTCCCTGGAGGTAACAACCTGTGGCTGGTGGAGGAAGATGGCATTAGCGGCTGAAGGTGAGGTGGGGAGATTGAGATTCATGGTGATAAGAGGTGGAAGATGGAACAAAGAAGGATGGTGAACAGTGAGGGGGGAGGACAGATAGTGGTAATGACAATGAAGGCTGACAGTGGAAGGTGGCCTTGTTGGGTGACAGAGGATCCAAATTAATGGTGGGAAAGGAGGGTGGAGAATGCAGGGGTGGGGTGATGGGGGACAGGGAATGCTGATGAAGATGGTCCCTGTGGATGGTGAATTCAGCGATGGATGAACAGCAGTCACTGGTCCTGGTGCTGTGGGTGGTGCGAGCCGGTGTCAGTGGATTGGTGAAAATGGAGATTGGGAAGGTTTACCCACTGGAAAACCAGTGGAAGACGGCACTGTTAGAAGGTGACAGAGGGTGGACACAGATGGTAGGGAGATGGGACCGGGAATGGGATGGATGCATCACAGAAGGTGGGGAGTGCTGGTGGAACGTGGTGCTGTGAGTCAGTGAAGGGTGGTGAGCTATCAGCGGTGGATGGGAAGATGGAATAGGAAGGAAAGACAAATATTTGACCAGCAGCAGATGGAGAATATCAAAACGGCTTTGAACAGTGAAGGATGAGGGTCAGTGGTCACTGGTGGTAGACGGTGCTGTTGGGTGATGGAGGACGGAGACCATCGGGTAAGATGACATCACTGGATGGCATGTGGTGGTAGAGGACAGTGATACTGGATGGTGCCATTTTGATGGTAGAAGGATATGATTGGAAAAGGGCAGATGATCGATGAAGGAGGATGGAAGATGTTGCATAAAATGGTACCCTGGGATGGCGAAGAGTGATAGAGTGGCGAGTGATGAGGATGGATGCTAGGCAGTTGGTGCCATTGGGTCATGAAGGATAGAAAATGTCAGAGGACGATGGTGGTGGGCAGGTGGGATTGGAGAACAGGAATGCTTGAGTGGAGGGAGTAAGGCTAGAGTAAGGTCAGGGGTGATGAGTTACTGATGACGGGATTTGGAAGGTGGTGGTGTGGGATGGGGGAGATGACAGTGTGAGATGGTGCTCTGTGACGGTAGAGTGCAAGATGATGGGGTATCTTGGACAAAGGGCCTGGGAAAGGGAGGGTGGGTGGCAGGGGACAGAAGCTCTCAGTGGAAAGCTGCAGTGGGGATGGTGGTGCATGAGAGTGGAGTTGTGGTGAGAGGCATGGCTGGGTGCTTGGGCGGCCTGTGTTGGTGTAAGGTGGCGTCACTGGATGGTTCGGTAGGTTGATGGTGTTGTCATCTATCTCAGTGTCTCAGTGCTGCCATAAAAGAAACGTCCTAAGTGTGTGACTTAAGAACAGAAATCTCTTCCTTCACAGTTCTGGAGGCCAGGAGTCCAAATCTCGGCCCTGCCAGCTCCTCTGTGAGCCTCTCTCCCAGTTTCTGCCGTCTGTCGGCGACCCTTGGCATTCCTTGGCATCTGTCTTCCCCTGCGAGTGCCTCTGTCTGTTCCTGTTCTTTCTGTGACTCACAGGGGTTAGGCTTAGGACCCCCTTGCTCTGGTATGACCTCATTGACAAAAATGAAAGCCCAGTTTCCAAAGAGGGCCATGTTTACAAGGACAGGGCTAAGGACTTCAGCATCTGTTTTGAGATGACAGAATACAGTCCACAGCATTTCCGGGGAATAGGCACCTGGGAGACATCCCCACCAGAAATGGGAAAATTGAAGGGAAAGGAGGAGGGGGTCGTGGGTACCAAGCCAGCCCCAAACGCAGCGAATCTCCTTAGCTCTCGAAGCTCGAGCATGATCTGGTTCTCCCAGCACACATGGCCAGTGAGTCCTTCCCTTCAGACTCTAGGTGGCAACCCCACCCTCTTAGACCTCGGAGGCAGTGGCTTCACCATTTGCAGCTCAGTAAGTGACCCATCTCATGCTCCTCCCATCAGTCCTGCTGGTCTCTGAACTACTCCTGGGATGGTCCCTTTCTTCTGGAGGGCTGCAGGTGTTCTCAACCCAGTAGCTCCTGTGGCCCGTTTCCTGCCCGTAGCTTTCCAGCAGGCGGACAGCCTTCCTTCCCTCCGTTCTCTCTGTCCATTTCAGTCTGAGCTGACAGGATTCCTGCTGAGGTTGACTCCATTGGTCACAGGCCTGGTTTAACCCAAAATGTTCAATACCCCTGACCATACATAGGTGTGACAGACGATATTCCTATCTATGTATTTGTATGTGCTATAAAAATGTCCATACGCAGTTCAAACATAACAGGAGGCAAAGTTAGGATCACTTCTTGGCCACAAATCAGCACCTTGAGGGGTAGGTCACTGGGCCTGTGGGCTTGGGGGGACCATAGTTGCAGTGGGCGCCAAGCTCATTCAGCACAACGTGGTTCACAAAAACGTTCTACATCTTTCTTGGGTGAGTGGTGACTGGGGTCTTAAAAGCTTGCAAGTGGCCATCTAAGCGGCAAATCTTGCTCTCTCCTCATCGGCATCAAAGAAGAGTAAAGAAAATACAGACTCATGGAAACAGTCCAAAGGACCAGTGGACCACGAAAACCTCAATCTCCTCGAGCCTGAGACCAGGAGAACCAGATAATGCCTGTCTACCAATGCCAGCTGCTCGGAAAGGGGTCACAACTGGAGACCCTGGATAGAGTGGGTGTGGAACAAAAGTCAGAATCAAAAAAGACCAGGTCACTGGCCTGATAGAGACTGGTGAACCCCTGAGACTATGGCCTCAGTCAGCCTTTGGGCCTGGAATTGAACTCACTCCTGTGGCTTAACTCTCAGCCAAACAGTAGACAGGCCTGGGAACTACACCTCCACCAGGGAGATGCACTCCTTACAACAGTCCACTGTGGGAGATCCGAAGGGCAGCATTTGCACAGAGAGAAAGGTAGGAATACACAGGCAAGAAGGACACAGGGAAAGAGTAACCATAGGGAGGACATGGGAGGAGAGCTGTTACACTGCTGGTAATGTAACCAGTGTCACTAAACAAAATGGGTGTGAACTATCGAATGTAAAATGAATGTGCTTTGTAAAAGTTCATCCAAATTAAAAAAAAAAAAAAAAAAATTCACCCTTGACAAAAGTTCTAGAATGAGCTTTCTTAGTTCACACAACAGAATTTCCCAAATCTTTTTTTTTTTTTTTTAATTGTAATTTGGGTGAAAGTTTACAGAGCAAATTCACTTTCTATACAGCAGTTCACATACACTTTGTCTCATGATATTGACTGCAATTACCCACAATGCAACAGCTCCCCTCCCACTTCCTCCCCATAGTCACCTCTTCCCTGTGTCCTTCCGTCCATGTAGTCCTGCCCCCTGAGCTGTCTCCCTGTGCATAAGCAGCCCTTCTTTCTCCCATGATTGTTCTCTCCAAGGAATGTATCTACCTCAGGTAAATGTTCAGCCCATATACCTGTCTTTTGTTTGGCTGGAAGCCACAGGAGTGGGTTCATTTCCAGACCTAAAGGGCAGCTAGGGGCCATAGTCTCAGTGGTTCCACCAGACTCTATCAGACCAGCAAACCTGCTCCCTTTTTTTTTTTTTTTTTCTTTAAATGCTTTTAAGTTTTGTTCCACATTGTTTTCCCACTCTATCCAGGATCTCCTCGATAGATCCCCTTCTGAGTGGTGGACAGTGGTAGCCAGGCACCATCTAGTTCTTCTGGTCTCATAGTTATATAGGCTGCAGATCACATGGTGTACCAGTCAGTCACTTGGGCTAGAATTTCCCAAATCTTTTAAGTTCTGCTTTCTTTCTACACAGTTCATTTCTAAGTTCCTCTTTGCTCCCACATTTTGCTGTAACCAATAAGGAGAAATCGTGCCACCCCCTTAAGATCTTGAGTAGAAATCCTGCTCAGCCAAATATCCAAGTTGTCAGCTCCAAACAGGGTCACGTTTCTAGGTTCAGGGTTTAGGATTTCTGCACACGTTTGGCAGGGACCAACCCAGTTCCATTCATAACAGCACCTTTGTGCAGGAGGGATGGGATGGGAGCATCTTAGTGAGAAATGAAGTGAAATGTTGAAGCACGACGAGTTGCCGTGTGGATGCGTACAATGTGAAGATGTGATTGGGGAATGGGGGAGGGTGGAGGGTGGTGATGGCTGTCCACACTGAGTGAGGGAAGGGAGAATTGGGGTTGGCGGGGGCAGCCACACAACATCGGCCCACCTCTGCCAGTACCGATGTGGACGGCAGACTGCACTCTCCCGTTCCAGGATGGCCAGTCCCGGACTGTCCGGCAGTTCCAGTTTACAGACTGGCCGGAGCAGGGCGTGCCAAAGTCAGGGGAGGGTTTCATCGACTTCATCGGCCAAGTGCATAAGACCAAGGAGCAGTTCGGCCAGGATGGTCCCATCTCCGTCCACTGCAGGTGAGTGGGCCCCTGTGCCCCAGCCCTCTGCCTGGCTGGGGAACGCAGGGCCAGGTGGGAACAGCCCACGGAGGCGGGCCATGAGGTCAGGACACCCGCCCTGACCTCCACACTCCCCCACAGTGCTGGCGTGGGCAGGACCGGGGTCTTCATCTCGCTCAGCATCGTGCTGGAGCGGATGCGGTACGAGGGCGTGGTGGACATATTCCAGACAGTGAAGATGCTACGGACCCAGCGGCCGGCCATGGTGCAGACGGAGGTAAGGGCAGGCAGGGGGGAGGCACCCCAGCCACGCTGAGCCAAAGTTTGGCAGCTCTGGGCTCTTGAGGATGGCAGGCCCTCCAACACTTTCCGCAGTGGGAGGTTAGTTAGCCTTGGGACACGCGGGAGCCCCTGGGTACGCATATGGTGAGTGTGCTCAGCGGCTCACGGAAAGGTGGAAGTGCTAGAGAAGAAAGAGCTGGCATTGAAAAGCCCAGGGAGCATGTTCTGCTCCGACACGCAGGATCGCCATGTATCCGAGTCGGCGTGACTGCAGCCAGTTGATTGGTTTTGACCCATAAGTAGACTGAGGTCCAGAGCCAAGAACTGCCACTTTCTGTGACCAGGATGGGTCAGTCCTGGCCTGCATGTCATAGCAAGTTCAGAGCAGAGCCAGGTCCCTGCCTTGGTGCCTTGGCCCTTATGAATGGAGCTGCAGATGCAAAAGTCCACCCCTTCCCTGCTGTACAGATAGGGAAACTGAGGCCCAGAGGAGGGAGGGACTTGCCTCGGGCGGGACGGATTTAACGAATCCACCGTCTCTGGGGAGATGGAGCCAGAGTCACAGACTCCCAGCCCAGGAGGGGGGCCCAGCCTGTGCCAAACCGAGGCGGTGTGAAGCTGTCCACTGTATTTGGGGACCCCCAGGGACTACCATGGGGGTTGGGGGCCCTCCTATGAGAGACACACTTGGCTGGCACCACTGGGCCATCCAGAGCCCTGGGAGGCGTTTAGCGCCGAGGCGGCACCAACTGGACTCCCCTCCCACAGGACGAGTACCAGTTTTGTTACCAGGCGGCGCTGGAGTACCTCGGAAGCTTTGACCACTATGCAACCTAAAGCCATGCACCTCGGCCCGGATGCTGCGCCCGTGCCCACGGGCCCCTGGAGGCCTGGCCCCCAGCGGGCAGGGCAGGAGGGGGCGTCAGCGGAGCCTGCGTCTCGGCGTGGTCCCTGGGCACGCCGCGGCCCCTCCAGCATCCCCCTGCTCGGCCCTGGCCACCGCCGCCTTCGAATACTTGGCACATTCCTCATTTCCTTCCGATTCCAAAATGAGAGATTCTGGGGTGGGGGGTGGGGGGACGGTGAGCAAACAGGGGCTCCCCAGAACCAGAGGAAGGTGGGAGGGTGCGGGCCGTGGACCCCCTCGCCCTCGCTCCCCAGACAGCCAGGAGGCTCCCTCCTGCCCCCCACTAGGGGGCTGCTAGACTTGGGGGGGTCGGAAATCCACGTTCTTTCCACCTCTCAATGTAACTGTACCCTGTGACATTCCTTTTTTTTTAAAAAATAGTGGGTTTTTTTTTTTCCTTTTTTTAAAAAAAAAACCAACCAACCAACTTCTCCCATCGCCAGGTTTCGGACAGACAACTTTGCGTCTCCATATTCTGGTCAGAGACAGTCTGCTTTTTCACTGTAGACCGACCTTCTGTGTGATGGCTGTTGGCTGATGTGCTGGGCCAGGGTGGCCCGGTCCTCCGGCTTTTTTTTCTACCATCACAAGGTGTGCCTCACTCACGTCAAAACGAGATGTTCCGAGGCGCCACTTCTTTTTTTCTTTTGCTCTTTCTTGTTTTTATAATTTTTTTTAATTTTTAAATTAAATTCTCAGACATATCACGTACAGCTCTGAGGGTGGGGCGGTGGGGTGGGTAGAGCTCAAGGGTCGCTGCCGCGGGGAAGACTGTAGCAGCCCCGCAGCCAGAACGCCCGGCTCCCGCCCCAAAGAGGGGGGCCGAAGAAAGGCAGAGGATCCCGCTTCCTCGGGTAGAGGGGACTGTGGGCTGCCCGGATCAGGGACTCTTCCTCTTGGGACTGTGGGGCAGTTTGGGGGCAAAAGCAGACAGACGGCACCCCTTCTCCTGAAAGTAAGTGAGTTTCTCTTTGTACAAGAGTGAATCTACATTACTTTCCACTGTTTGTTCAAACGGAAGCAGTTGGGTGGTTTTCCCACCTCTGTGTATGTAGATATATCGACTTTGTATTAAAGGAAAATTGTCCGACCCCTGGTGGCACTGGTGTCTTTGTTGTGTCCCAGCTGCCCTGTCCCGTTCCTGCAGTCCCCAGGGGGACGCTAGAGAGCCAGCTCTCACCAGTGGTGCTCATTGAGCAGTGTTTTGGGGAGTTGGCATAGAGAGGTGACACTGCCCTGCCCAAGGTCAAACAGTAGGTGGCTTAGATGGGATTTGAACTCAGAACCCTGCAGATGTAGAACCCAAGCTCTGGCCCTCCAGGGGCTGCCTCGTCTTTCTGCTGATGATAGTGACCATAAGTGAGTGTCTTTAATGGGTGCTGGTAGCGTAGTGCCTAAGGCACTTGACTGCTAACCAGAAGGCTGGCGGTTCAAACCCACCAGCCACTCCTCGGAAGGGAGATGGGGCAATCTCCTTCCGTAGTGATACTGCCTCGGAAACCCAAGAAGGGATCACTATGAGTCAGAGCTGACTCGACAGCACATAACAACAACAACAACGTAGTGGGCTAGGCCATCCAAGATGGAGAGTCATCAGCCCAGTTCACAGATGAGGAAACAGGCTCAGAGAGGGGTCAGGCAGTGATGTAGGGCTGAGTCATACAGTGATGTAGCACTGGCATTTGCACCTCAGTCAGTCTCACCTGCTGCCTTGAACACCATGCTGGGGTGCCTTCTTCTCCAGCAAGGCTTGGTAATGGAGCTGAGACCTCAGAAGGAAGCATTGGGCTCCTCCCCAAGCTCAAAATCCCCCAAGGGTGGACTCCTTCTGTGAGCCAAAGTCAGACCCTGGGGAAAGGGAGGGTGAGTCGTTCCCTTAGCCCTCTAGCAGAGGAACCAGACATGGTGCAAAAGATGCCCCCCTGCCCAAAGTCACAGAGAAGATTCAGGGGACAAGAGAGGTAGGCTTAGGCTAGAGGTGCAGCCCAGGAAAGAGTGAGGCCACACCTTTTAGAAACCACATCAGATAGTCAAAAGAACAAGCATAAATACAGAGATGTGACTAACATCATTAATAGATACCAATACTGTGTCCTGGAAGAATTGTAGCCAGAATGCTCCTTGGAAGCTAGAATGGCCAGACTTTCTCACCTACTTTGCTCACGTTGTCAGGAGGGACCAGTGCCTGGAAAAGGATTTCATGCTCAGTAAAGTAGAGGGTCAGCAAACAAGGGGAAGACCCTCAACAAGATGGACTGACACAGTGGCTGTAACCATGGGCTCAAGCGAAGCAAAGATAGGAGGGCACAGAACCAGGCAGTGTTAATTCTGTTAACACAGGGTCACTATGAATTGGAACCTGACAACAACATATCCCAAAAAAATTCTCAAACATGTAGGGAGAATTTATAAAAAGCAACAGTGGAGAGCTTCACAGATTTCAAGAAACAAATTATCAGGTAAGATATTCTGATTTGGGCCCAGAGGAGTAGGTTGTGCAGTAAAATTAGCCACCCCTGAAAACACCTACAACCACAAAGTTTAAAACACATTTCTAAACAAGGCATGGGTTAAAGATGGAATCAACAGAACTTACAGAGTTTAAAACCAAATGGGATTTTAATGTTGTTAGGTGCCATCGAGTCGTTTCCAACTCATAGCGACCCCATGCACAGCAGAATGAAACACTGCCCGATCCTGCACGAGCTCCATGATCTGTGCTATACTTAGCCCATCATCGCAGCCACCATGTCAATCCATCTCATTGAAGGCTTCCCCCTCTTTCTTTGACCCTCCACCCTACCAAGCATGACATCCTTCTCCAGTGAATGGTCCTGTGACCAAAATAGGTGAGACGAAGTCTGCCCATTCTTGCTTCCAAGGAGCATTTCGGATGCACTTCCTCCAGGACAGGAATTTAAATAGCATATTTGATACCTTATGAAATGTAACCTGTGAGATGCAGCCAAAGTACTACCCAGAGGAAAAATCATAGCCTCCAACCTAGTTGTTAAGAAAACAAAAAATTGAAAGCAAGTACATGTGAAAAATAACAACCAAGTTTTCAATTCATATAACTAGAAAAGAGTAAGATAATCCAAATGAAAAAGAAAATAAATAAAATTGGTCAACTCTAATTGGGAAATGTTGAGGCTGTTTTCTTGCAGGAACAAGACTTTTCTTTGAAAACATGAATAGTAGATAATTCTTAGGCAAGTACTATGAAAGGAAAGGTGCTCTGGTGGCATAGTGGATAAGGCATTGGGGAGCTAACCAGGTCAGCAATTCAAACCCACCATCCACTCTGGAAGGAGATGGGGTGATCTACTTCCAGAAAGATTTACAGCCTCGGAACCCCAGTGGGGGTCACTGTGAGTCAGAACTCTGTGGCAGTGAGTTTTTGTTTGTTAATGAAAGGCAAAATGATAAAAGTAAAAATAAACCAAGAAATCCAGAAGAAAACATTAACTACAAATGGAGGTATTTGTTAACCTTAGGTGAGTGTGGGGAGAGGGGCAAACAGGAAACACTGGAGAGGGAGGGACAGTGGGGATGAGTGGCAGAACTGGAGTGAAAAGAGCTCTTCCCCTCCTCCCTATGAGATAGAGGGAAAAGCAGGCAGTGAAGAGGGAGAAGGATGAAGAAGAACCATGTAAGACCTGCATCTAATAGCCCCTGAGTTTTGAATGCAAGAACTAGGGGGAGATGGAGCAATAGAGGAAGAAAGAGAGTCAGGAATTGGAGGAGGAGATAGAATGAGTGGCTAATTGCCTCCACGGGTCACTGCCCCTCTTACTGTGAGACAAGAACTGTATGGTGCGTCCATCCCTGAATTTGGATCAGAGATTCTGTAGAAGAATGCTGATTAAAAGGGGGGCTGGAGGGATGTGGAACAGAATTTCAAATTCTCAACGGAATTCAGACTCTGGAGCCATTGAGCCTAGAGGAACTCCCAAAATTTTCCCTGAGATAATCTTTAAACCTTAAACCAAAAATATTTTCTGAAGTCTTCTTTAAACCAAAAGACAGTTTAGCTTAACTAGTGAGCAGTATCTGACAAACACATTGTGCTCTCCTAACTGTATAGGATCAAATTGACAGTAGCAACTAGGAACACCACTTACCTTCAGTTTGTCGTATTGAAATGGCTTGTGTGTTGCTGTGAGGCCAGAGGCTATGCAATTGGTATTTCAAATACCAGCAGGGTCACCTATTGTGGACAGATTTAAACAGAGCTGACAGACTGGGAAGAAGAACAGGACCATCCACGTCCGAAAACACTAGCCACTGAAAACCTGATGAATAGCAATGAAACACTATCTATTATTGGAAAACTTAATAAATAGCCATGAAACATTGACTATACAGTGGTGGAAGATGAGCCCCTCAGTGGGAAGGCACTCAAAATAGGACTAGTGAAGAGCTGCTTCCTCAAAGAAAAAACAAACTCACTGCCATTGAGTCAGACCCGACTCATAGCAACCCCTCCTTGGGTTTCCGAGGTAGTATCACTATGGAAGTGGATTGCTCAACCTTTCTTCCAAGGAGTGGCTGGTGGTGTTGAACTGCCAGCCTTTTGGTTAGCAGTCTAATGCCTGAAAGTAGAGTCAACCTTAATGACATGGATGGAGTAAAGTTCTCAGAACCTTCATTTGGGGCATGACTTAAAATGGAAAGAAACAGCTTTAAACACTCATTAATAATCAGAATGTATGAAGTACATGCAATTGGGAACTTTGTATGAAGTATTCATCTAGAAAAATTGGAAGTTGTCACAAATGAAATAGAACACATAAAGATCGATATCCTAGGCATTAGTGAGCTGAAGTGGACTGATA